AAAAATTTGTCTCATTTGTACCAGTATTTCCTGCCTGGTATATATAAAGTAGTTGTACTAATTATACTAATATTACAATATGATAACGAAATCGAAAAAAGTATTTGCACCACATTAGAAATAAATATACCTCACGTGTACCACTTCTATATATTTACATATCTGGAATCACATTATGAAGTCATTAATTTTTAAAAAATAACTTAGTGTATATTTTTCAAAAATATTGTGAACATACAAACAAACAAATTGTTAAAGTATAAGGTAGATCATGTAGACTTATGTGCTAGTATAATAGTTATCGAAAAAATTCTTAAAAAATCCAAAATTTAGAAGGGACCATTCTTACCACATATCTATTTAGCCAGTTCATTGTTTGTTACATACGGAAAATTTAAGGGAGTTTTTAATTTTTTAAACTGACATAGTTGTATCAATGGTACCAGTATTAAATGTTTGGTATATAATATGAAGTTGTACAAGTTAAACTAATATTACATGTCTAGTATATGAGCTATATGTTTAGTTATATGAGTTATACCAGTTATACCTGATATCACTCAAATTACTCTAAGTAGTGAATTACTCTTTTAAATAAGAGGTTCAGATGTACTACTTAGGGATCGAATCCACAGAGACTCTAGGATTACACAATAGATTAAATAAAACTAGACTGGAAATTGATTTAATGGTTTAAAATAGTAAATAAATGAGGTGAGCAAGGAAGTTGCTCAGATGATTGATTTGAAGTTGTTAACAAGTTGGAAGATAGCTAGATTTAGGTAAATTCTCAGGTACGATAAGTATGCAGTTTATGGTTATAAAAGGTTTATGAATATCAATTGTTCTCGAACTCAAACTTATTAAGTTATAATCTATCAACTTTGAAGGGATATATTATCTAATGCTTAGACCTAGGAATCCAACTTTCGTATGCGAGTCCTAAGGGAGTATCGATCGATGTCCCCTCTGGATTGTCGATCGATGTCTGGTATTGACTATCGATCGATGTATCCTATGAAGTGTCGATCGATACTAGTTCTAGCAAGCTGTAGCGAATGGGTTTGATGTGTTATCTAACCACCAAGATCAACTTTTATATGCACCTAGCTAATCAGATCATACTAATCTTATTCAGGAAACATGTTAAGCTCTCACTTGTACCAATCAATCCTAAGATAAAATAAATGAAGAACTAACTAAGTAACCCTAACAACAACACATATTTAGCAAACCATGAATCAACCTTTGAAAAACCCTGAATCTAACAAGAGAACTACTCAGACACATTTACAAGAAACATTATGATGGTCTGAATAATATTACAATAGAATAATAAAGAGACAAAGTAGAGTAAAGAAACAAATGGAGTTCAAGATGTTCCCTCTCTCAAGGTGTTCAGATCTCTCTCTCCAATCCAAAGCTCTTTCTCAATACAAAAATAAGGATAGTCGTCAACAATGGCTTAGAAACAGTAAAATAGGGTTTCAGGTCGTGCAGAGACATTATGATAATTTGTGGTAACTCATGGGCCTAAATCATTCATAAAAACGCTCTTCGCACATTCTGGTATCCATGTCGATCGATGTCAAATGTGCGGCATTAATCAATTTTTGTTTATCTTCTCGACAGCTTTCTCCCGCGAGGCAGACTGACCACTCCCCAGTAAAATGGGCATAATTTCTGTTACAGGATGCTGATTGAGCTCAGACCGGTGGAATTGTAAATCTAACTCAAAGCTCTATCTTGTGTCAACAGATGGGCTCAATCTAACGGTGGGAAGGTCTCCATCCATAGCTAAACATCTGACGCGTCTGTGCAGTGCACTCAAAAGACTCCAAAATCACCATATCTCTTGAGAACGTACCTGAACCTGTAAATTCTCTAAAAAGAGTCCAAAAATAATAATTATATCTTAAAACACTTATATACCATGGCTGAAAGTGGGTAAATCCATGGTATATCAATACCATATTCTATAATACCCTTTTTAGCAATTTAATAATTTAACTTGTAATAACATCATATTAAAATTGTAAAACATTCATTACACTGACTTTAATTTAAACTAACACTTGCAAAGGTTGAGTTAACAAATTAAGTGGATTTTAATAAGTAATTTTAGTTTTTAAGACATTTATTATGCATTTACTATTGATTTATTTTAATCATTTTAAATTTTATTTAAGTGTATATATATTGTATTTATTTGTCTATTTGTAGCTAACATGGTTTAAACTACATAATTGAAAAATTCAGGATGAAATCAGAAAAAAATATGGTCAATTAGAAATTTCGAGACCAAAAAGAGAAGCAAAAATCTGAGGACAGAAAACATAAATAATGAAAATTAGTATTTTTCACCAGATTTGATCGATTGCTCATCCATGCCACCATGGTTGATTGAAATCTGCTCAATCCATCGTCCTCCATGGTTGTCTGAAATCGTAGCTTGCCGGCGGCAAGGGTCTAAAGTCACAGTGACAATGGTGTTACGGATTTGTTGTGACAACTGTTGGACGAGAAGAGAAACCTGCAAAAGAATACAACGTCGGTGGAGATTGGAGCAATAGACCATGTGAGACTGAAGTTGGAAGAGGAGAAGATGGTCACGACTCACAGAAAGCACTGGAGACACTATGTGTTGCCGTCTAAGTTGAAGACCAGAGATGTCGCGTGTTGCCAGAAAAGCAACGAACGGAAACCGTAGAAGTTGAAAGGGACTCATTTTTTTGTTACTGGAAAAGTAACAAAAATAAGAATAAATTTATTAAGGGAAAAATGGATATTTCATTTGAAATGGGTCATATAGATTAATGTAGGTTATGATAGAGGATTATGTCCTGAAAAGAAGAGAGTGGAGTATTGGGATTTCTTGGTCCATAGAGACGGGTTTGGCTGGTTTGGGCTGGTTGTTAAGAAACAGTGAGGGCGTTACGTTGCGTCATAGCAGGAGAGATTTTAATGGAGTTTCGTCCATTTTGGAGGCAAAAATATTGGGTCTGATATGGGCAGCAGAGAGTATGGTATCTCATAGAATGCAGAATGTGATTTTTGAGATCAAAGTTTCAAAGTTGGTAGGAGCCGTAAATTTTCCAAAGGCCTGGCCTGCATTCCGGATGTATGGAGAGGAACTAAAAGATACCAGAGTGGAAGGTGGGTGTAATCTGTAGAGCTGCTAATAGAAGTGCCTTTCGGATTGATCGGAGTGTAACAAATGATAGAAGGTTTCAATCTTATGTCGCTCATGAAAGTTCTTCTCGGCTAAGGGGATTGCTTGGGGAGGAAGTATTCGAGAAACAGATAACAGTATGTGGTTCTTTTCTGGTGAAATTTGGTATGGAAAATTTCAGTAATGAGAGACTTTGTGTTTTAGGCCTTATGTCTATTTTTCTATGTTTTTTTCTGCTTTGGTTTGAGACAACTATGTTTGAATTTCTATGAATTAAAAGAAATAAGAGTTAATTCTCCTTTTACTTTCTTTTCTTTTTAAATTTTATACAAAAACTCTATTATATATTCAAACCCACTTTTATTTCCTCTACTAGGTGACTGGTCTGCACCCTATGCGCGCATAAACATATATATTGCGATATCGATTGACTTGGGTTTTGTTAGATGTGCGGGAATAAAAATATAGTGCAATATCGGTTGAGTTGGGATTTGATAGAAATGTTTCAGTATTGAAATCATTGATCTCCATGTATTTCAAATGCAAGAAAGTTGATACTAGCATACCGTGCATCTTCAATGTGAAAGAAAGTGGGACAAGTGAGAGTTTCAATGCTGAGATAGAGTCTGCGCAAATTTTTAGAATGAAGTATGGTAGAGATAAAGAACGAGTTGCATAGCTCTTCTTCCGGAAGCAGCATCTGTAGGTATAAAATATTAAAAATATGGAAAAATTAAAACTGTTCAGTTGTAGAAGTTACATATTTTATATTATCACTAAGTGAAGTTGTGTTGTATGAATGTTGTAATTGTATATTTTAGATGAAATATTATATTTATGTTTTTATATTTTTTAAAAAACAGTGATATATTAAAAGAAAATATGATAAAATTGAAATATAATAATCAAACACTGCAAAATAAGAAGTCATTTCTCAAGAAAAAAAAAACATAAGAAGTATATATAATCCATAAGTAATATAAAATAAGAAGTCTAATTCGCAAGAAAAATAATCCCAAAAAAACCTGGAAATTTTTATTTAATTTTTTAAGCAAGTGTACGATATCAAATAATTTTAATAAATTTCTAAAATTTATTTAGACGAAAGTATTATTAAATTTACATATTGTTATCGAAATAGTCTGAAAACTGGTTTGTAGTCAACTACATCTGGTATTTTGTCTGTGTTATTTTTCTGTTAATAGAAGAAACAAACAAATTTTAAAATTTTAATTTTTTTTATTTTTATTAAATAAAAAAGGACTAAAATTGCACACCGTTCACTGAAAAACTTGTTTGTAGACAACATTCGTTGTTTTGGTCTGCGGCTTCCCTTGTTTATCCGTGATTTTTAATCCAAATCTGGACTTTACTCTCGAAAGTGCAACGTATAACTGTCCATAAGAGAACATTGGTCTAGGTAGAAACAAACCAACATTTTACAGCGTTTGACCTTGGCTTTTATTGAAAGTTATCGCAAAAGCCAACATAACTGGAAACTGTCTTCGACGCATTCTAAAGGGAAACATTGTGTCATGTGGTGTGACAAACATTCTTCGGATCCAAACTGACTCTCCGACAATATCGTTGTTTGTAATTCTACCTTGTATCACATGGGGCAGTAACTGAGTAACAATTAGCCTAGTACCATTACATAAGCCATCTGTAGCATCCATGTTACAAAGACACATGATAGGAGCACCAACCTTGAGCTTTAAACAATGTCTAGGCAGTCCCAAAATAAAATACTAAAAGACCGAAAGCCAATAAAACAATTTCAAGAAAAGTAATTTTTAAAAAGTTAAAAAAAAAATCTCAAGCTAAAACACTAAAAGACAAATCTAAGAGCATGTGCATTAGTGAACCTCAAGGGAGGTTCACACACTTTCCAAAAAAAAAAAATATTATAAAAATGATGGGGTCCATTTTTTGGTGAACCCAAGCTCTCCCAAGCTCTCTCCCGTGAACCTTTTAGGGTGGAGTTCATCTATGTTTTGCGGGCCCCACGCCACGTGGCGGCCCGCTATTGGTCAGTGTCTTTTTTTTTTTTTAAATATAAAATGAAACGAAAAAAAAAATAATAATAAAAAATTAAATTGTGAACCCCAATAGGGGGTTCATCAATGTACCTGCTCTAAGAGATAATAAAATACTGAAATACGCCAAAGCCATATTTTTCTAAAAATAAAATCAAAGAGTTGAAAATGTTTCACTGCGTTGTTTTGATTTTCACCTGCCCTTGATTTTCTTTTGAGCATGTTTCTTGTTTAGAGAGAGTTGATCCCCAACATCATTGTCTTCCTCTCCTTTGCTTTTTCTTTTAGACACAGGAGTTGCTGAAGAACCACCTGAACCATCGGAAATCTCATCGGAGGCGAGCAACATTAAAACCTGAAAAATAAAGAGAATTCCCCAAAATATTGGCTTAGGTGTATCTATCAAAATTAAGCAACCATAATCAGTGTATTACCGGTTGAGGAGGCAAAACTGACAATTCCTCAATCATTTCACGGTCATGATTAGCCTAACGAACAAGATACTGAGAGCTCTTTCCTCTGATGTTATCAGAATCAACTGAAATTTCAGAAAGCATTCCCATGCCATTGAGGTCGCTAACGGCTTCTGGTAAGAAGTCGGGATCTTCATTCTACCATAAATTAAAGATAGATTAAACAAAAGAATTTTATTAAGTGAATTATTGGCAGCTGTTAATTTCGAAAAGTACCTCATCGTAGAGTTCAGCGGCTGTACAACGCACAATCATCTGAGCGTTGGTATCAAACAAAAGACAGTTTGCCTCACTGGAATCGTCTTTAACATTGGCAATTAATTTAAACCTGAAACCAAGAAGGCTATAATCTCAATCTTATATACATTAATATATTCATTGGGTAACATGAAGACAATAATACCTAGATATGATGTTGATGTGTTCTTTGTCCCAGGTATTGTAGAAGAACAAAGGACACATATCGTCATCAACATTGGTTGTAGGAAATACCTTTTTGTTGCAGTATTTACAACTTATGTATTGCCATCCACGTTCAGCATATATACCTTCAATAGTGCCCACGGTAACAAAAGTCCCAACCTATTCGTAAATGAAAATAAAACTAAATATACTTTTATCATAACAAAGGGAATTAAATCAAGTAGAAAGGATAAGAAAATGGATGGCTTAGTTTATATACCAGAGTACTATCGATGATCTCTCTTATGGTTAGCCTCTCATTAAGAACAAAAAACCTGGCACAAACAGATGTAACAGTACCAACAGACCATTGGGTGCTCTCGTTGTTTGTAAGAGCAAGAGAATCATTAGGGAGACGGCACAATCAAGTAAGACATCCAGTTCAAAAGTTATAGTAGGTTGTGTGCAAAGAAAAAAAAAGTAGAATTAGGTAACAAAAACTGTCAAACTGGAGGAGTACCTTGCTTTGAACTGGTCAATCAAATCCAGTGTTGGGTTGAGCAAAATATGGGTTGAATTATACCCGCTAGATATGGAGTAAGCACCTACAAAATTTAGATATTTATTTACATGTGCAAATAAACATTTTACAAACGTTGGTACTTTTATATACCTTTCCACTTTTTAACATACGAGAACCTGATAACACAAATAATCATTGTGCACATGTTACTCATACTGCAATCCTATACTTGTTTAGCATAACGACCCCACAGAGTATACATTATCTTCACATTTCTGTAAAAAATATAAACTTAAGTTAATAAACAGAATATAGATGTTTAGGTAGCAAATAAAACAAAAAGATAAAGCAGTTAAGCTTACTTTTGGTCACGTAACTCAATCAAGAGCTGCATGTTATCTTTTTATTTTATCATTTTCTTTTCCAGAGACCCGAAGTTAACTATTTGGCCAATAACATCTAAATAACATTAAAAAAAATTAGGAACAAGTATAACAAAACCGAAATAATATTTAACTTAAAATCATTTTTGTCATAGATATTGACTCACCAACCGGACAGCTGTTATCAAGCTTTCCACCAAGCATATCATTGTAATCCGCAAAATATTTTTCGCGAACTTTACTTGGAAACTCATCAGCTTTTCCAACAAAAGTTGTTGGAAAGAAGCCAATTTTGTACGGATGTGTGGTTGTCCGATAATCACCAATAGAATCATACATTTTGAATAACTGGACGACTATCGCATCTCCCTCATATAGCTTGTATTCATACTTTTTGATGAGCCCTTCACTAACAGAAGCATGAATTCTTATCCCCTGATTGTCCATATAAAAGTTATGAGTTAGACAACTAAATGATAAGAGTCGGGTGAAAGCAGAATAAGTAGATATGAAACATTATTTTTCCCAAGAAAAAGTTGAGTTCATTGTAAAGTAAAAATAAAACTAAAGACGAATCTGAGATGTCAAAAAAATGTAGTAATATAATGACTTACTTCTTTATCAACGAAAACCAATTAAATGGTGTTTCCTGATTCTTTGTTGTAATTTCTCCACAAGCGAATAATCCTAACTTCAATACGCGGTTTTAATTTTCTAACCTAAGAAACAATGTTTTGGGGGCTTGAACAATTGCCATTCTTTGGGAAAATTGTTAGCAAAAGAGAAGAAGGTTTTTATTTTAAGACCTTGGGGGGTCGCCCATATATATATATATATATATATATAAGGATTTACTTTTCATAATAATGGTGTTTAGGAAATATTTTTTACAATAAATAATGAAATCATTTAAGGAAAAATAATAAATTTGTATTGGAAAAAGTGATTCTCCTATGATATGATTTTAACTTGCGCAAGTAATCAATGTTAGAAAGATAAGTTATTAAAATCGACAAGCTAATTAGAAACATTAAGATAAATTGCATTTAAACAATGTACTAAATATGACACCAAGTGGCGCAAGTTTACCGTTTGAATAATAAGGAAAGTTATTAATTGAAGAATTAATTAATAATCTTGGACAAGTAATCCAAAATAAGATAATTTATTATAAACTAATTAACTAATTACAAACATCAAGGTAATTTTTTCACCACCGAAAATTACTATTGCATTATATGTGGGCTTATCTAAATTGATACTAGTTTTGGGCTTTTCTAAATAGGCTATACACATATTTTATCACCTAAGATAGTTGAAGCGAATTATGAAGCTACAAACGAAATATTACCTCAGCCTCAGCTTCAACGGGTGCTAAAGATATTGGGTACACAAGCTAAAATCCAGGATATTCAAAATAAACATTCAAAGCTGCTGTCACATTCTAAAAGAAAAGCTAAACATAATTAATATAACTGTGAAGCCTACCTCTTAAAAAGTTAAAGAGATGCCTCAACAATCGAAAACTTAGAATAACAAACAGAAAGCAGTTGTGCACTGAGGAATCAAAAACTGAGAATAACAAACATTGAGTCAAGCCAACAGAATCACTGTAATCACAATGTCTTGTTTCTTTACCTCTGGACTAGATTCCCAACGTAGACAGTGGTGTACTGAGCAGTGTTCTCTAGGGCATCGCTGTTACTTGTATCTTTGCCATCCTCTGCAGGAACACATAAGCCAATGTTTCAATATTAAAAGGTAAGAATTCAAATTATTAGAGGATGTTTTTTGTTTCCAGAAAATTATCTTTTTATGTCTAATAAACATAAAACAAGGAAGAGTAGAGTTTCTTCTTAAAACGTACCAGAGACACCACTTGTTAGTTCCACAACACTTTTGGAATCAGAGCTCATCTTGTCATCATCAGAAATGGCTCCCTTTGTTGCCCAGTTCCAGCGAATCTGCCTGGTACCAAGCCACTTCCCTGAAAAAGCAAAGAACAATCCTCATCAATTATAAGCCAATAAAGGTTAATGACAAAACATACAGTCTTTGTCAAAATCAGATCCTTCCTGAACTCAAAAATAGATAATACTCTGAATAAAAAAGGTACAGAGAACACAGAAACCCTAATCCCCAAATCGAATTAAAAATTATAAAAGGGAACTTTGATTGGTGAAGAGAGCTCACGTCAATGAGAGAAAGAAGCTCATCGATTGAAGAAGGTGGATCAATAAGCTTTTCCCTAGGTTCCAGAATCTGATTCTCATCCTCCTGATCAGAATCCGACATGACTCCTTCTCATCCCCTCTCCTCTTCTCTCGCTTAGATCTTCTCTATCAGCATAAAACAAATCCTCCGATGAGATACCAAATCGAGTATCTAAGATCTGACATATTCTCTCGTCTAAGTTTTCGTCGTCGAGTTTCTATTTTTCTTCCTGGTGAAACGACAGAAGATGTTTCGAAAAAAGATCGGTGATTTTAAAAAAAAAAATCAAAAAAATCAAATACTTTCGACCAATGAAATTATAAGAATTTTCTGAAACTCTCTGTATGAGTGTCACATCATTAGAAATCACTTTAGTGACTTCTCATTTAAAAAGAGATAAGAATGCCAGTTATGCAGAAAACAAAGCTCTGAAAGAAATCAAGAGTATAAACATACACAACACACATACAAGTAAATTCCTTTTCTAGTTAAAACTATCGCTCAGCATAAATATTCATATTTGTGAAGTGACTGAGGTAAAATAAGGAACTTTATATAACTCTGTTAGAGAACTCAGTAGCTTCGAGCGGAGAACAACCCCAAAGGTTTCTAAGGTTAAATGCAAGTATGATTTATACATATGACTTGAAATCTATAAGACTCAGCTCGTAATCCTATTTCAATTCCTAAACCACATCAAACCTGGTTGTGCTTATACTTAAAACCATATCCATCTTCTTAACGCTTTCAACACAATTCACCTCAATTTCAACATGTAGCTTGAACCCCATAAGAAAAGAGACTCCATTTCTGATTTGTTCAAATCCTCTGTATTTAATCCACCAACTTTTGAGAAATATGAATTTCTGTAATTCCTGAGAAATATATGAGGAAACAGTATTAGAAATGAATCATAAATGAAAAAAAAAAAAACTGAGATTATTTTAGGAATCATGGAAGTTTTTCTTTGAGACTTACAGATCTACGTATTTAGAAGTGGTCATGATTGTGGTGATAAGGAAGCGGTGTGCGACGGCGAGACTAATTCTAAGACCAGAATTAGTTTATGTGAACCGAAGTACCGGCTTTTGATTGGATGGTGATGTCAGAGATTTACGGCAAACAAAGTTTTGGGTTTTGACGAAAGAAGATGAAGTTGGTTATGCGAAGCTCGTAACATTCTCTATTATTTTGGTATAAATTTGGTAAATTATAGCTAATTAATCCCCCTATACATTAAAAGAGAAGTCACTTTAGTGATTTCTGCTTACGTGGCATTCATAGAAGACACTCTTGGATTAATTCTCTTAATTCTATTGGTTTCTTTTTGCTAATTTCTTTTTGATTTATTTTAAAATCGACAGGGAAGAGTTAACCTAGAACCACTTAATCTATGCTTCCAAACACTCTCAACGATACATATATATATATATATATATATATATATATATATATGTATATATATATATATATAACTCTTTAAAACATTATTATAAATTAAATATACTAAATCCTTAGAACATTAGAACATATACATATATATATATATATATATTTAAATTTAGTATAAAATATAATTTTGGTTTTCAACCTGCGATAATATATTTTCATAAATCTAAATTTTATGTGATTTCTTATCCTGATAAGAAAAACACACACATATATTTTATTTTATACTAAAATATGTTACAAATTAGTAATACTTTCTTATCCTTTATATGATTATTGTTAGAAAAACACACATACATATTATACTAAAATATGTTAAAAATTCACTAAATACTACATAAAGGCTATTTCAGAATTTAAGTATTACTAAATAATATATGTTTACTAGTAAATTACCACATTCATATTTAAAATATTTAGATACATTATCGCAGGTCGCAAACAGAGAATATATTTTTTCTAAAATATATAACAAATTTTAAAAATACTACATAAAAGCTATTTAAGAATTGAAGGATCCCTCTATTTATTAAAAGAGAAGTACATTTGCCCTTCTCAGAAGAATTCTAGCGATTCTATTGGTTGATTTTTTAGAATTTATTTTTTGATTTATTTTTACCATCGACACAACTAAAAAGGAAATCTATTTAAATACATTACCTTTTGTGTTTTCTCGATTCAAAGAACATCCTTTTGCGATCCTTTCTCTGTCAAATTCATTAAATACTCATTAAATATTTTAGATGTCAGAGAAACAAAATTAATTAACAATATATTTTCACTCTTAAAATCATGCATTTAAAACAAAATTAATTGTAAGATACTTTCTCTCCTAAAATCATGCATTTAAAACTTAAACCAAAATTCTGGTACAATCTATTCACGAGATGTTCTCGTTTAGCTTTATCAACAAGATATTCTAAAAATAATATTACCTTATAAGTATAAGATTTATTGAGAATTTATTAGAGAATATGTTACTTCTTAGCTTATCATGCAAGCTAAATCATTGAGAAACGTCCATCAATTTACTATAAATAAGATATTCATAGTAGAAGAAATGAAATCATTGAACTTTGTATTCTAAACTTTTTATGTTAATAATGTTCTGAATTTTTTTTTCTTCTTAGTATAGAACATTAAGCTTTTATATTTCATGAGAGCTGATTTTTCTTTTGATTTATATGAAGATATCTTATTATGACGATTTCTCCACTGAAGCTATATATGATTTGATTGTACACCTCTCTGATATATCATTTCGATAACATCTTTGTTCCTCAATCCGGTAAAAAAAATTTCTCTATTTGATAACATCTCTCAGCTATATCATTTCAATAGCATCTTTTTGTGCTGCCAATACTTTTTTGTTTATTAGTAGATTTATATTATTGTTTAGAATTATAAGCTTATATATATACCTATATATTTCTTTGGTTTGATGATTGTGATTTTGCTTTATGATCTTTTTCATTAAAATTGATATATATTTTTTGGTTTGCAATTATATGATCTTTTTAATTAAAATTAAATATATATAG